CCCAACACTGCATCTGTGGCAGATATTCGTGAACAGCGTGCCAGACGTCCCCCATCTCATTTAAAGGATTATGTATGCAACACAATGACTACACCCTTTCCTCGTCTCTCCACTTCTCCAATCGACTCAGGTATTCAATATTCCATTGATCATTATGTTTCTAATGCATTATTTTCTTCGCACCATCAGATTTTTCTTGCCGCCGTGGATAGTAACCTGGAACCCAAATCATTTAAAGAGGCTATGCAATATCCTCATTGGCAGAAAGCCATGCAAGCCGAAATTGATGCATTGGAAGCCAATCATACTTGGCAAATTCAACCTCTCCCTTCTGGTAAGAAAGCTATTCCATGTAAGTGGGTGTACCGCATCAAGTACAATTCTGATGGAACCATTGAACGCTATAAAGCGCGTCTGGTTATTGCTGGGAACAATCAGATCGAAGGAGAAGATTACACTGAGACTTTTGCACCGGTGGCTAAAATGACAAGTGTGCGTACATTTTTATCTGTAGCTGTAGCTCGAAAATGGAGCATTTTTCAGCTGGATGTTCAAAATGCCTTTCTCCATGGCGATTTGGATGAAGAAGTCTTTATGCGTTTTCCTCCCGGTTTCTCCCAAACCAAGTCTGGTCACGCCTGTAAGCTTCAACGTTCACTTTATGGTCTCAAGCAATCCCCACGAAATTGGTTTGCTAAGCTTCGTAGTTCTCTCCTCAGTTTCGGCTTTGTTCAGTCTCGTGCTGATTATACGTTGTTCACTTACTCGACTGGTTCCCATTATGTTGCTATACTTGTCTATGTAGATGATATTTTGTTGGCAGGTAGTGATCCTTCTCTCTGTGACCGTGTCAAAGCTCATTTACAAACCTGGTTTAAAATCAAAGATCTTGGTCCCCTCAAGTATTTTCTTGGCATTGAATTTGCTCGAAGCAAGACCGGTTTGTTTCTTACTCAACGCAAATTTGCTTTGGATATTCTTAAGGAATGTGGACTTCAAAGTTGTAAACCGGTTGCTTATCCTATGGATCCCAATCACAAGCTTGCTCTTGCTGAAGGACCTCCGTTTGATGATCCTAAACGTTATAGACGTATTGTTGGCCGTCTTGTATATCTCACGATTACACGACCAGAACTTAGTTATGCAGTTCACACACTTTCTCAGTTTTTGCAGCATCCTATGCAGATACATTACGATGCGGCTATTCGTGTTCTTCGGTACATTAAGTCCAATCCTGGCCAAGGACTCCTTCTTCGATCTGACAGTGATCTTCTTCTTCGTGCCTATTGTGATTCGGATTGGGCTAGTTGTCCCTTGACTCGAAAATCAGTCACTGGTTATTTTGTTACTCTTGGACATTCTCCTATTTCTTGGAAAACCAAGAAGCAAAACACAATATCCCGCTCCTCTGCTGAAGCTGAATACCGTGCCATGGCAGCTGCGACTTCTGAGCTTATTTGGTTAAAGTCTTTTCTCAGCTCTCTTGATATTCCTCATGCAGCCCCTATGCAACTGTTTTGTGACAGTCAGTCTGCTATTCATATTGCTTCTAATCCAGTGTTCCATGAGCGTACCAAGCATATCGAGTTAGATTGCCATTTTGTTCGGGACTATCTTCTCAGCAAGACTATTTCTACTCAACATATCCCCACTAGTTCTCAACCCGCAGATATTATGACCAAAGCACTTGGATCCAAACAATTCGATTTTTTTGACTTCCAAGTTGGGCATCTCCTCCCTCCATGCTCCACCTTGAGGGGGAGTATTAGAGTAGCATTAATTTGTTAGGATCCTGATTGTAACTATCACGGTTTGTTACCTTGTATATTAAAATAGATTAGCTTGATTTATGCTTTCTGTTCCTTAGTTTTAGCTGATTTCCTGATGTAAATAGATTAGCTTGATTTATGCTTTCTGTTCCTTAAGTTTAGCTGATTTCCTGATGTAAATAGATTAGCTTGATTTATGCTTTCTGTTCCTTAAGTTTAGCTGATTTCCTGATGTAACCAATTGTAAATCTTGGTCTATATAATAGACCCAATTTAATATATCATCAAGCTGCGAATGACAGCACCTCCTCCACCCATCACTACCACCATGCCACCGTCACCACCACCACAACTACCGTTGCCGCCACCACCACCATCATTATCACCGTCACCATCACCACTGCCGCCATCAACCACCACCACCATCATCGCAACCATTGTCGTCCCCACTACCATCGCCATCACATGCCACTGCCACCACCCTCATCGCCACCACTACCACCACCATGACACCACCACTACCAACACCACCACCACTACCGTCACCACAACCACTGTCGCCGCCACCAACCATCACCATCATCGCCACAACCATTACCGTCAACATCGCCACCATTACACCACCCCTGCCACTACCACGACCACCATCACCACCACCATTGTCACCTACCACCTCCGCCACAGCCACAGTCACTGCCACTGCCACCATCATGATGCTTTCACAACCACCACCACCATGCCACTGCTACCAATGTTGTCGCCACCAACCACCATACCCACAACCATTGTCGCAGCCATTGTCGTCACCTCTACCACCACCATCCCCATCACTAGCGTGGTCGCCGCCACCATTACCACCGCTATCGCTGCAACCACTGCCGTAACAACCACCACCATTATCTTCACCGTGTCACTGCTACCACCACTACCGTACCGTCGCCGCCACCAGCACCACAACCACACCATATGGAAAGGAAAGTAATGATCTGAATTTTTTTTATTTAAAAGTAATTATTTTTTATTATATTATTTGTTGTGTTATCAAACACAATTGTCATTCTCGGAATAAAAAGAGAACGTGTTATCAAACACATTTTTTTTTTCTTATAAACTGTTCCAAGGCACATAAATATAAAATAATTATTTTTTTCTGAAATAGTGCTAGGGAATAGAATGGTTGTCATGCACACCTTTAATTGCACAAATGCTTCTAACAATAGTCTGATAGGGTTTAATGAAGATGTGCACTCCATTTGTGTTCATGGTCTTGTTAGTTTTGTATACATTTACATTTAAAATTTCATAGTAAAATTTAACCAAGCTTGTGCTTGATGGGAGAAATTATATGTGTTAGGTACCAGAAACCGAGAATAGAATGGAAAGAACTTAAATGGTATTGATAAGGTGGAAGAGCACCTTCTCTTCTGTACACTACTCAGAAAACTCCATTAGCCATTCAAGCTCGTATTTGGATAGTGCAGATATTTATTTTTTCAGACACAGAAGTGAAGCGATTTATTTTTTAACGACAAATGGATTATCTCTGTAGTGAATGTCTTTCAAAAATTAAAGGGTTACTTTTATAATTTTAATTAATTTTCTCGTCAATATTTTACATTCAACCAAACATAGATTTGGAAAACTGTGATCAATTTTTCCATCAATATTTTACCGTCAAACAAACATAGATTTGGAAAACTATAATCAATTTTCCTGGTAATATTTCATTCTAATAATCAAACAACTTTTTTTTCAACTTTACCAGCAAAATTATTTTCTCATCCTTTCCTCATTAATTGTATTTATTAATTAAAAAATTTTCTCTTTTACCAAACGCTGCCTTACTTGATTATTAGAATTAGCAGTGTTCGCGGTCTGGATTGGATCGGTTTTGGGAGCAAAAATCATCCAATCCAATCCCTTCGGTTTGATCATGTAATCATCCATTCAGTTTGGATTTTTTTTCAAATCCGATCCGATCCAATCCAATTTTTTTCGATTTGGATTGGATCGGTTTTTTGAAATTCCTAAATTTGTTTCATAATTATTGTACAAATAACATCTTTTGTATATATTGGCTTTGTAAATTTTTTTCTTTTGAAATACAAAAGCATTAGTAAACAATAATATATATATAATTTTTTCGGCAATGAGATATGAAGCTCTACACAGATAAAATTTTGTTGATAAGATGTGACTAGATTTTTTCTTGAATTTAGTTGATGGGTTAATGGGTCTTGAGTTTAAAAATTTGTGGGATATGATATGGGAAAGACCCAAGTAGGTAGAGAAGAATTAATATATTGGATCGATTTAGATTGGATCGGTTTTCATCACTCAATCCAAAAACCGATCCAATCCAGTTAAAATTTGCGGTTTTTTTTCGGTTTTCGATTTTTCAATTTTCGGATTATTCGGTTATCGATTTTTCGGTTCGGTTATTGCGGTTTGAATCGGTTGATGAACATCCCTAATTAGAATATCCTTCCTAAGTAAGCAAAACATATATAAAAAAAAATGGGAAGGCAATCTGAAAGATCTCATCAACAAGTAATTCTTTATTATTAATGGAATCAGTTAACCTTCATGAACTATATAATTAAATCAATTAAGCATGTTCATTACCGTTAGTGAGAATCAACTCCGTTAAAGTCTTATATGATTTACCAAAAAAAAATTATCTTTTTCAGAATTTGAAAATTTTCCTTCCTTCTTTTTTCAAAAATGAAAAACTATTTTGTTGATATCTTTTCGTCATTTTCTTCTTGTTCATTGGATGTCCAATATCCATTCTTTTTTCTTAAAAAATTTCTTCTTCTTCTAAAACAAATTCACATATTTTTCTTCCTTTCATCCTCCTGACTCTAAATTTTCAAGTAGCAAAAGAACCTGGTGTTTAGAGCTCGAGTGTGCCGAATCGCACGACCAAGACATAGTCAACAAAAAATCAACTTTCTTGCCTTCAAAATCATTTTATATCTGTTTTGGATGGGTTTTACTGCATCTTAGATTTCAATATTTCATATACACTTCTGCTGAGAATATGTTTTTAGTCAAATTTTTGAAAAAAGGGGTTTCAATAAGTTGAATCTTAAATTTCCATATATCTACTGGCATATAAGGCTCGACAGTCTCAATCAATCGGTTCGTTCAAAATCGACATAAGCACACATGGTAAATAACATTTCAGAATAATTAAAAAAACTAGGGAATTGATAGAGAATGGGTACACTAAGCCCTCTCGCCTCGGATTCTTCTAGCGAGTTGAATATCCTTAGGCATAATGGTGACCCTCTTAGCGTGAATGGCGCACAAGTTGGTGTCTTCAAACAGACCCACCAAGTATGCTTCCGCAGCTTCTTGAAGCGCCGACACTGCGCTGCTCTGGAACCTCAGGTCCGTCTTGAAATCCTGAGCGATCTCACGAACCAAACGCTGAAATGGAAGCTTTCGTATCAAAAGCTCCGTGCTCTTCTGGTACTTCCTAATCTCCCTCAGCGCCACCGTTCCCGGCCTGAACCTGTGTGGCTTCTTCACTCCCCCGGTCGCCGGAGCTGACTTTCTTGCTGCCTTCGTTGCCAGTTGCTTCCGGGGAGCCTTGCCGCCGGTGGACTTGCGGGCTGTTTGCTTCGTACGGGCCATCGGGAGAATCTAGAAGCTTCTAGAAGAGTGAATTGAAATCGTGAGTGGGTGTGGCAGGTTTGTTGTAAGAAAGGGTAATTTATAGATGAGAGTTGAGAGATTGAAATTTTGGAGGGAGAGAGTTTTTTTGGATTTCGGAGGGGCAATCCGTGTGAGGGCTGAATCGGACGGTTACGATTGGGTTATGAGAAAGCACGCTAATTCTTCTTCTCTTAAAAAGAATAAAAATGAGGCTTTTATTTGTATTCAAAATTTTGATTTGGCGCCAGTACTCTTAAAAAGATTTTGCCATATTGAATTTTCAACTTCACTCCCGGACCCACGGCCTCTTTTGTTTTTTATATGGTAGAAATATTTTGTTTTGTAAAAATAGTAAATTCTTAAATTAAAATGTAAATAGTAGTATTATTAAGTTTACCTGTCCATTTGAATGTTGTAGGTAGTGTTAACATAGAATTTTACAATTTATATTAATCGGGTTTTTTTTTATCCGGGAATCTCAATTTTTAAAAATATAATTTTTACTTTCAATTTACAATTATATTCGAAAATACAAAATTTAAAAAAATTCAATTTTTTGAAAATTTTAAAAAATTTCGCGTAACAAACGTCCAAAGTTATTTTGGGTATGAGCCCGATCTCATTCGACAGGAAATTAATTCAGTGATTCTCCTTTCGCTCTTTTTCCTCTCTCCTTGCATTTTCTTTGTCTATCTCTTCTCTCTGACCATATGAACACATTAAATTTGCTCCATCTGGTGGGCTTAAGGCCATTTCAACTTCCAATCGAGGAAAACCTAGTCGGGTAGGGTATTAGCCTACCAACTCGGGACGTGGGTTTGTACCCATGATTCTGTAGCTTTGTCATGCACTCACGATCACCACCTGCGGACTAATTGCTCTAAGGCCACTCTCTTCCACAATAACCATCACAGGGGCTGTGTATATACCACAATAGTACTCCAAATGGACCAGGTGACACACGTTGACAATTAGGGGGTGTATAGTAGAGGAGAAATTTTTCTTTGTCCACGAATCTCAATTTTCAAAAATATAATTTTTAGTTTCAGTTTACGATAATATCTGAAAATTAAAAAATTTAGTTTCTCAGAAATCTCCAAGAATCCCGCATACCGAACGGGTCCTTAAAGTATTTTTATTCCCCAGAGCACTCACCATCCCAAGAAATACACACACCCCTTTCGGGTGTGTTTGGTACAAGAGAAATTTTTTTGTTTTCAAAAATCACAATTACTGAGAATTCATGTAGGAATTGAGTTTACTTGAAATATTATGAAAAAATTATTTGGTTCGCTAAAATATTACCAAGAATATTAGGTAAGGATTACTAATTCTATGTTTGGTTTAGAATGAAATATTACTGGGAATAGATGTTATATTACAAAAATAACCCTACATATTTTTTAGTTTCAAAATATTTACACGTATGATTTACATTCACACAGGTTGAAAGAAAAATCATGAAAATAGGGTCTGTTCAACATCTGACCCAACATTTCATGCGCTAAATCTGGTCTCACAACAAGGAATACTAGATTTTGCAGAAATATGACTCAGCTAAATCTGGTCTCATGCGCTAAATCTTCATGGGTGCTGAAAAAAAATAAAAAACAAAATATGACTCAGCTCGTCAAGGAAGACAAGGGAATATTGGAGAATCATGAAACCCATTCGCATTGTTGAACGAAACGAAGAGAAGAATATAGTCTGAAGCTTACACACTTTTTGACGAAAGCAGTTCAAGAGGAAATGGGTAACAATGACACCAGACTTAGATTTTCATATGTTATTGGGGGTATTTTAGCCTCTAAGGTGGTGTTTGGTATGGGTCTTTTCAACATTTTTCTATCTATATGAAGTAAGGTTTTTAGGAAAGCAACGTTTGTTTGAACAGATTTTCTTCAAATCCCCATCTATATAATTTGCATAGCTTTTCCAACTGAACCACCGAAACCCACTAATCTGCACTGTTTAGAAAGCAAAATTAAGGGTGGGTTTTTATGAAAACCCGGGTATGCACTCTCCACCACCTCCTCCTCCTTCCTTTCATGTGGATTCTCTTATCCAACACGTGTCTTCTGCTCCCATCACCACTCATTCTCTCACCCTTGTGCCTCCAATTCATGATGACATGACCCATTTCAATTCTCTCCGAAATTCTCTTGATTCAACTGAACTACTGCTACCCACTTCAGCTTCTGCCACCAGAATTGATTATGATCAACTTGAGGAGGCAAAGTTTGGATTTTTATCAGCCAGGGGTAAGTTGATGCTCAATTCAATTGTTGGGTCACCTTTGCATAGTTTGAATGATTTCTTCAACTCTGCCAAATTTGAATTGCTTGAAGTTGATATTCCCAACCTTTCTGGCAACTGGGAAAGAGCCCTTTTGTTATTTGAATGGGTTTGGTTGCATTTTGGGTTTGAAAATATGAAGGTGGACAATCAGGTTGTTGAGATTATGGTTAGAATATTGGGGAGAGAATCACAGCATTCTATTGCATCCAAGTTGTTTGATTTAATTCCTGTTGAAGAATACTCACTTGATATCCGAACAATCAGGACGTTGCGTTTTATTCGTTGGATTATTTGAATGGAGGATATTTGTATTGGGGTTATATTTGTCATTTCATACTATTTACCCATCCAAATTTTATCATAAACCAAACATAGGTTTTATACTTTTTCATAAATTTTTCTGGTAATATTTCGTTAAACTAAACTAATTTTTTTTTTAATTTTCTTATCTATCTCACTTTTTTACTATATCTCTATCAATTCTATTTCCCTAGTATTTCAAAAATTTCTCCTCAACCAAACGCCCCCTAAAAGAGTTGTTCTCGTTTCCCTTTTTTGGTAATCGTAATTACCACATTATTTTTAGTAATCCAAATAACTTTGGTTTGTAAACGAGATTACCGGAAAATTTTGGATATCCGAAAGCTGGGTTTTGTATCCTTGTACCAAACATGGTAATATACCATTACCAAAAAAGACTTACCGGTAATCTCTTAAAAACCCTTGTATCAAACACATCCTTATAGTATTTCCATTGGACTTTGGCATGTGATGTTGGACTTTTCATTGTCATTCGTCTCTGTCATAAATTCCGTAAATATAGTAGTTATCCAATTGGACATTTGTGTTAACCTACAAACAAAAATCCATGCGACACCTTCAGTAAAGTTCACTATAAGTCTATAATAGATTTTATTTTATTTTATTTTTGCAAAGAATAATATTATAGTAATGTTAATAATGGGTTTAGCTTTCATTCATTCGTGCATTTTGTTAAATGAACATAATCAGGAAGCATTAGGGGAGCTTTTGGTAGAGGAATTTTTTTTTATAGTGGAAAAATGAGTATTCTAAGAAAGTTAAAAAAAAAAATTATTTGGCAAGCCGAAATATTACTGAAAAAATTGATTTCAGTTTCCTAAATTATGTTTAGTTGAAGGTAAAATATTGCTGAAAAATTAGGGTGAAATTATGACAACAACCCTTGACTAAATAAGAGTAATTTTTGGTAGGTTGAAATACAAGATCATTATTTACAAAAAAAAGAAAAAAAGAAATACAAGATCATTTTCATCACCTAGCTTCGCACTCCTTTTTACATTTTGCCGATAATCTGAAAATACCACCTTCTAGGTGGTATTCTTCAAAAGTGTTTTTACTCACAATTTTCAAACAAATATCAAATATTGGGCAAATTATTTGCTTAGATAAATTTTTTAAAACCTTGTACCAAACATAGACATATTGAAATACCATATTCATTTGCCTGAGTATCTATAAATTAAACTCCTATCAAATGCTCCTAAGGGGGTGTTTGTTTCAAGTTTTTGAAGAGGATTATCGGTAATCCTTCTTTGGTAAATGTAATTACCACGTTTGGTAGAAGGAATAAATTACGATTCTTGGATATCCAAGGATTACCGGTAATTTGATTTATAAAGAAAAGTCACTATTCAGATTACCAAAAATAATATGGTAATTCGGAATACCAATCAGAATACCAAGTAAAGAGAAAACACATTTGAGACAAAAATACCCCAATACACATAAAAATCTAGACCCAATATATCAATTACAAAAGTAAAAATAGTTTGGGGTTATTTTTGTAAAATAACCTCATATTCCAAGTCATATTTCGTTCTAAACCAAATATGGAATCAGTAATTTTTATCCAATATTCCCGGTAATATTTTGGCGAACCAAACACCTCTTTCGTAAGATTCCAAATAAACTCAATTTCTACTGTATTCCCGTTAATCATGATTTCCGGTCACCAAAAAATTTATCTTGTACCAAACACACCCTAAAGAGAAAAAGCGAATTCCACGCAAAGATTTAATTATTAGTCCCCGCTTGAGTATAGCTCATTGTACACCGTGTCATACAGGTGAGGAGAAAATTTATTGGAAAAATACTTTAACGCACCGAAATCACCGAACCGAACTAAGTGCTCATTTTTATAAAATGGAAAGGAAAAAGATGGGAGCACCGAGTTTGATGCTTCCGATGCATTGAAGTTTTTCTTGTTTTTTTTTTGGATGATACGTTTTTCTTGTTTTATTGGCATATGATCGTATTCGATGGTGGCAGCTGTGTGCATAATAATTATTTCTTTTGTCCTTAATTTTTGTTCCTCGACCATTGATTCATTCCATGAAACAGAAAAATTAATTAATTTTATTAAATGCGATTTTTAAACAATTTTTTTTATATAAAAAATAGAGAAAACAAATCTTTGTGAGAATATCCACACCCAAAACAATCATTCAACATTAGTATCCTTTGTTTTTTTTTTTCAAATGGAGAAACACTTGTAGCCTTTTCTTTCTTTCTTTTTTTTTTGTCAAAAGGAAAAACACCTATTAGCAGATAAGTAGGATATGATGAACCAAACGTTGGCATGTATATTTGTATCTCAATCCATAGTCAAAATACATACTCAGCTCTCTTAAGTTGGAAGGGGATGCGATGTGTTCAACCCCAAATGAACCTGACATGTGTTG